TTCCTCTCTCTCTCACTCTCATCCTCTGTCTCTCTCTGGTCAAATTAAAAAATGAATGAATAAATAAAATAAAATAAATAATTATTAATAAAAAAAGAAAATTCCTGGGGACCAGCAGGTGGCATGGTAGCTGCAGTACTGGACTCCCCCACATGGCAGACTGCAGTTTGAGTCCCAGACCTGGCAGCTTTCTCTCTTTCTCTCTCTCTCTCTCTCTCGTGAGCATGTGTACCCTATATAGCAAATTAAATATAATAATAAATAAAACAAAATAAATATTTTTAAAAACATAAAATACCTGAATGTACTGTTGACAGTTGAAGTTTGCAAACAACTACCTTGAGTTATCTGCTTATGAAAAAATGTGTTTACTTATCTATTTTTTGTGCAGACTGAAAACTGAAGATGGAGAGGATTGAGCTGATCACGTTCATTAATCCATTATAGATTTTCTTTATCCCCACTCCTCCTTCTCATCCTTCACCACCCAGTGTTTACCCTGATGTGTTTAACATGTATTCATTTGTTTGTGTCTTTGTATAATGTGTCCTGTTTTGAATACAGTCTTGTCATTTAAGTAAACTGAGATCCACAATCACTTATCCACAATTCTTACACATACGCAGCTCTGGACACCCAAAGTTTTTTCTTAAATGCAGACTTAGCAGCATGACTGAAGTGACATGAGGTTATTAGTAGTTTTTTTATCCACTTAGTGTAACTATTCTTACATTTTGCTGCAGTGACACTGTGTTTGGTCATGAGACATTGTCCCTTCCTTTTTAAAATTTTTTCTTTTTTAATTGATTTTGTCAGAGGGCACCAGTTCTTGCCAGAGAGAGAAAAAGAGAGGGATGGTGAGAAAGCACTCCCCACGAGGTATGGCCACACCGCAATCCCTTCTCTTCCATTTGTCCCTGCTTTCAGAATTTGGGGCATGCACACGCACATCCCCTGTGTGTTTCCCACGTCAGGGACTCAAACCAAGCAGTCAGCCATGTGGGATCCAGTCACATTAACCACCACACCCCAGTCTTCCTCTTCTTTTTAAAATACATTTTTTTTTGAATTCCCAAAGAAATCTGACCCCAAGGGTTTTAATTCTCTACCTACAGTATCGCATAAAGATCTTATTCTGTTTTGGCCTTTATTTTTTTTTATCCAATATTATATTTTTAAGATATACCCATATTATGATATACATATCTAGTCCATTCTAACTGCTATAGAATAACCCACAAAGTGGCTCCCTCATATTTTACCTTCCTGTTTCCCCCATGGTGGGCACCTAGGGTATCCCCAGTGCCTACCACTATAAACAGTGATTTAATGAACATCTTCAGATACATCTCTCTCTTGGCCTGTATAAGAATCATTAAGGAGTACACACCCAAGATAGAATGAATGGGTCACACTGGGTCTGCATATCTTAATCTACATGTGGTGCCAGAACGCCTTCCAATAGAGCTGAGTTGGTCTACGAGCAATGTCTGATGGATTCTGGAATCCCACATTCCCCCCAAACTTGTCAGTACCTGGTGTTCTAGTTGTACCAGACTGAGAAGAGTAAAGCGATATCTCATCTTGCTTCATAAACCCTGAACTGTAGGCACTTTTATTATTGTCATTTTCCAGATGAGATCATTGAACTCAAAGAGAGAAATAACTTGCCCAAGAACAATAACAATTGAGTTGCAAAATGTAGATTCAAATAGAGTCCGTACTCTTTTGCTTATTTATTTAAGAGAGGTTTTTGCTATAGGATGCATGCATTCACTGAAGAGCCAGAGAGGCAGAAAGTGAAAAATCACTCCCCGGAGGGGATGACTATGCCACAGTCCCTTTTCCTCCACTCTTCTCTCGGGATCTTGGGCATGCACACACACTCATGGCGTGAGTTTAAAGCTGCTGGGTCCAGGATGTGAACCACAGTCGGCCATGTGGGAGTTCAGCAACATAACCATTAGGCCATCTGCTGGTCCCAGAGTCCATTCTCTTACTCTCTCTATCTGCCAGCAGTTACATTACAGTTTGGCTGTTCCTGTGAATGGTATCCCTTTTTATTATATTTTTTTCTAGTTTGTTTTGCTATCGGACACAGGTGCTCATCAGAGACGGGAAGAGAGAGAAAAAAAGAGAGAGAGAGAAAGTGAGGAATCACTCCAGGGAGGTAGGGAGGGATGGCCACAGTGTAATCCCTTCTCCTTCTCTCTCCTCTTAGGAATTTGTGCATGCACATTACAAGGGCCCAGCATGATTTTCAAGTTACCAGGTTTGGGACTCAAACCACACAGTTGGCCATGTGAGTTCCAGTGCTTTAACCTCCTTGCCACCTGCTGACCTATTATTATACTTTCTAATTGGTTAGTACAAATATACAGAAACTTGGTTGATTTTTAAAAATTAATGTGTGTCTCCAGTGAAGGTGCTGAATTATCTTAATAGTTCCAATAGTTGATTCTGCTTTGTTTCACTCCCTCTCTATGAATAATGTGAATAATGATAGTTTTTCCATTTCTTTTCCAATGCTTAAATCCCTCATTTCTTTTTCTTTTCTTATAGCATTGGCCATGATCTCCAGTACTATGCTAGGTGCTGTGCAGTAATGATTGATGGCAAAGAATATTTCTCATAGAAGAATAATGTTATCCTAGAAGCTTTTCATTTTATCTTGCCTACAGTATGTACAGCTAGTCAGGAAGCTGTTTCATAAAAATGTAGGTTAGGAACTGTGTCTGGTCACAAGGAATCCATTCTGCAGAGGCCTTGTGCTCAGATATGATGCAGAAATGACAGCTCTGCCAGGGACAAACAGCTTGGTTATGATAAATTTGACTTCATTCTGACCGAATTACATCCTAAACCCCTGTGGCAACAACTCAGCTCTACACATGTCATTTGCTTCACACAAATTGTAAAACACAACTGTTTGTGACAGTGGATTGGTCTGTAACCCTGTGGGGGAATTCAGAGAGTAGTATTGGGAGAAGGCTTAGCAAATAGCTAGTGCTCTTGTTTTGCACATATCTGGAAATCCCTTGGCAGCTCATCACCTTCAAGCAAATGATCCACCTAGGAAAACAGATGGCAACAAGTGAGAGGGCTTGACTTAGGCCGAGGCTACTATGGTTTTCTCCCAACTGGCCCTTGTCACCCCTTCTTCCACAGAGGTCAGCCTTGCTGAGTGTTCATGGTAGCATCTCCAGGCTTAGAGTGACGTTATCCATCCAGAGTTTATTGGAGACCCATAGGAACGAAGGAGGAAGTACCCACTCTTCTCTCCTGGGTCCCCAAAGTATCCTGCCTATCCAAAATTGCACACAGTTAGCCCCGGCTGCTCCATGGTGAGGATGTGGGTCCTTCCAGTCTGACCCACTGGAAGCATCTTCAAGTCAGTGACCAAATTCATCCCTCCCCCTCTACCCACACCCAGGGTGACTAACACTTGTGGGAGAATTGAGTGAACTGAAAAGTCCCACAGGAACCTCAAACATAGCACAAATAAAATGGAACTTCTCACCATCTTCTCCAAACTCACTCCCCTCTTACAGTAACCCCTGCCACCAGAACTAGAATATTTGCCATCCCGCCACTCCCAGGGCCCTCCTCTCCCTCCCATGCCAGGAGTTACCAAACCCTAGCCCATGGTTGACCAGAGATTCCCTCCTGGCCCCCTTCTGTTCTACATTCCAAATGGGTTGGCCGCAGCTACCAGCTGCGCCCTGTCCCACTGCTGGCTGCTGGGCTCCAGCAGCCACACTGCTATGGAAGGGAGCTCCCCATTAAGCAAACCCCATCACAGCTCCCTGTCTAAAACCTTGAAGGCTCTGCCCAACATGGCGCTGCCCAACATGGCGCTGCCCAGCATGGCATGCAGCATCCCCAAAGCACGCCCCCACCCAGCCCATGTCCACAGGGCATGCTAGGCCCCCTCAGGCTCCCACCTTCCCAGCTGTGCTTCTGACTGATCCGTATCCATTTCTCCTGACTCCAACCTGCATTTCATCCCACTGGAGGGGTCTCATGCCAGCTTGTCCCTTCATACTTGGGTCAGAGCCTCCATGTCTCTGGGAGACATTGCTGTCTCCCCTACCCATGGTCCTGCTAAGCCAGTTCGTTCGTTTGTTCTCTCTCCCCCGCCCCCAGCATTTCTTCCCAGGATCCTGTGCGTCCATCCCAGGAAATCGTAACAGCTCTCTGCCAGATACCATGATAAACTGGATTCTCTTAAGAGGGTGATAACTGTATAGACAGCCAGCTTTCATCCCTTTTCATGCATCAGAGAGGATGGCAAAATCCATTGAGTCAGATCAGATGGGAGGCCCCAGAGGGGTGTCCAGCGCGGCACACGGGGTCATCAGAGGGTGTGGACAAGGGACTGACTTGCCCACCCCATCCAGAACTAGGCAGGAGGCCAGGATCAGGCCACAGACAGGTGGAACCACAGTGCACTCCGTCGAAAGGGGGCGCTGCACAGCAGCGGGGGGCGGGGACATCTGACCCAGGCAGGAGGCGGGGGTGGGGGACACCCGGGGAGGCAGGCCGGGGTCGCCTGCCTGGGGACCCCGCACGGCCACTCTGCGCAAATTTCGCTTTCGCTTTGGGCTGGGCTGGAGGCGGCGGGGCCGTCCCGGAACGACTGCGGCTGGGCACCCCAGGAGTTAATCCGAAAGCGCCGGAGCTCGGCGAGCCAGACTGACTCCACGTGTCACCGAGAAGCTGATGTAGAGAGAGGAGACAGAGAGAGAAAGCAAGAGGCCGAAGTCCCGGGAAAGTCCTGCAGTGCCTCGGGGCAATTATAAAATGTGGCCCCTGGGTCAGCCTCCCAGCCACCGCCCTCACCTGCTCGGCGCACCGGTCCTCAGCCCGCCGTCCCGCTCAGAGCCCGGCATGTGTGCCCCGCGCAGTGAGTAACCAGCCGGCGACACCGCGCCCTCTGGCCGCAGGGCAGTGGCCGGGAAGAGGAGGCAGACCTGTGCAGATTAAGGGGAGGTGGAAGAACCAGCCATCTCCAAGAAGGGAATAGAAAGGGAGCTGGGATGGGCGCCCTGGGGACGCTGAAAGGGCATTTTCGCTTTTCGTCTTAGAACAGCCCATGAGCTGCCATTACGCCCACCCCGCCTCTGCCGAGGAGAAACTGAGTCCAAGTGCGGGAGGTTTCTTGCATAGGGTCTCTCAGCTGCAGCTAGAAGAGGGCAGATCCGAGCCAGTTCTGAAGGGAGGCTTTGTCAGCCCAGGTTTCTGGAACGCTGGGTCCTGCATTTGAGCCAGCTGTCTGATCCCCAGTTCTCAGTTTCCCTATGCAGCCATGGAGGCTTTGTCCAGATGAGCTCTGAGTCCATACCGTTATCTGAGCTCATCGCAGGGCCCTCGCTGCTCTCTGGCTTCTCTGCTAGAGTAGAGTGCCCATTTCCAACAGCTTGATTCATCTCCCAGGTGGGAAAGAAAACGCTGGGAATGGGCTAGAGATACGAGCGCCAAGAAGAAATGGGTGGGCAAGGATGGCCACAACTTTATCTCACAGTGGGTGGAAGGTAGAGGCTGGCCAACCTGCGTGGCTGAGCTCAGCCTGCCTGATCCTTCCCTTCCAGGCCTCCTCCTGGCAGCCACCCTTGTCCTCCTGCACCATGGCACTTTGGCCAGGAACCTTCCTACGGCCATGCCAGGCCCAGGCAAGTTTGGATGCCTTAGCCACTCCCAGAACCTGCTGACCGCCATCAGCAACACTCTTCAGAAGGTGCGTTTCCCAGGGTCCTCAGGCCCCCTTGACAGTCTCTGCAGAAGGGGGCGCTCCATAGTGACCTTCTGGTCCCTGAAGGACCTGCAGGGAAATTGTGGATGTTCATGAGTAGCTGTCAATAGCAGGTGAGGGGACTTTACAAAGGGCCCAACTGTTAGCTAAGGAGTCTCAGGGAAACTGTCTCCAGAGAATGCAGGAGGGTAATAAGTTATAACGGCTCTCATTTGGCTGTGTCTACACAGGGAAACGTGGGTATATGCACTGCTCCCTATAGCCTGCCACCAGAGATGGAACTGTGTCAGGTCTACACGTTTCCCTGACACCACTGTCAACCCAGAACATAGTCACTAGGTACATTCTTTGAGCCCTGGAAGATGCAAAGGTGAATTAGACTTGTCCCTCTGCTGCTCCCCAGTTTCCGGCCTGGTGACATCGTTCCTTGTTCGAGCAACACCTATCAGGGAGGACTTAGACACTTGCATGTCCGGTCTTCTTTTTCTGTAGGAATAATTACCTTGTTTACAGTTTTTTCACTTTTTTAGGTTGTATATTGTAATGCACTTTTTTTTCTTTTTAAAATTGTTTTAATAGCTATTAAGTTTGCTGCAAAGGCCAAAGGCCATGTTTTGTTTGTTTTTGAGAGATTTTTTTCTATAGGGTGTGTGTGCTCACCAGAGAGACAAAAAAAGCAAGAAATCACCCTCCAGGGAGGATGACCACACTGCAATCCCTTCTCCATTCTCCTCTTGAGATCTTGGGCACGCACGCACACACACCCTGCAGGAGTTTTAAGTCGCCAGGTCCAGGACTCAAACTCTGGCTGATTATGTGGGAGTCAGGTGGTGTAACCATTCCACCATCCGCTGGTCCCCCAAGGCCATTGTTTTAAAAGGTGTCCTTTTGCTTTCTTGCTCTTTAGTAAATCTTTCTTATTTTCCAGCTTGTTGCTTTACTAATATCTTCAAATAAGCTCAATGCCACCAGGACTTCTTGGAGTTCTTTTTCTCTTCTAATCTTTCATAATGTACTCCCAACTGCTCCTTATAGTTCGATCAATCTTAATTAAAAAAAGGAATCACCAAGTGAAAATTGCAGAAATAAGTGCTTTGTTTCCTGAGGAATGATTCAATATGGACAGAATGCAGGAGTGCTGACTCACACCGATGCTTTCTATGAGAAAGCTGACTCGACTTCCAGATGCCGTACTGAAGGTCATAGGTCACGGAATTCCACCTGGTATTTCTTCTGTCATTTGTCAAATTTGCCTGGACAACCTACTGGGTGCTGTAGAAAATGGGGCAGGGCCCTGTGACTCACAGGCCACGTCCAGCACAGGGCTGTGTAGTTTGGCCCATATATTGGATCATTGGTAAAGTCATAATGCATTTTTGCATAGAAAAACAGAAAATGGGTCAAAATATTTGAGTTTTTAATTTTTTTTTTTTTGGAGAGGTTTTTAGCTATAGGGCATGTGTACTCGCCAGACAGACAGAGAGAGACAGAGAGACAGAAGGTGAGAAATCACCCCCCAGGGGGGATGGCCATGCCGCAATCCCTTTTCCTCCATTCTCCTCTTGGGATCTTGGGCACGCACGCACTTGTGCCCAGCTTGAGTTTAAGCCACTGGGTCCGGGACTCGAACCGCGGTCGACTACATGGGAGTCCAGCGACATAGCCATTATGCTAACTGCTGGTCACTGAATTTTTTATTTTGTGCTTGATGCCATTGAGTGACTGAGCCTTTCATACAGGATTCCAGATTTCCAGCTCTCTTGAAACAATCCCAAAGACTACAACCCTTGGCCCACATCCCCAGATCCAACACTACAACTCACTCAAAATAGTGGTTGCCCAGGTCTGCTTAAACATCTGCAGAGACTGAGTACAAGTTTTCTTTTTCTTTTATTTATTTATATTTTTTAAAGAGAGGCTTTTTCTATAGGGTGCATGCACTCACCAGAGACAGAGAGAAACAGGGAGACAGAAAGCAAGAAATCACCCCCCAGAGGGGATGGCCACGATGCAATCCCTTCTCCTCTTGGGATTTTGGGCACATACCCACAAATGCACCCAGCATGAGTTTTAAGCCACCAAGTCCGGACTTGAATTGCGATTGACTATGGGAGTCCAGTGACGTAACCATTATGTCATCTGCTGGTCCCAAGTTTTCTATTGCCGCTGTCACAAATCACCACATAGTGGCTTTAGAAACACAAATTTATTAACTCACAGCTCTGGAAGTCAGATATGCAAAATAGATCCTACTCGGCTGAAGTCTACTGATCAGCAGAACTTGTATCTCTTTCTGTGGACTCTAGGGGAGAGAGAATCCATTCATTGCCTCACCTTCTTCTGCTTACAGGCCTGGACTCGGGTCTCCTTCTATCTTCAAGGCCATCCATAGCTGGTCAGGTCTTCTTCAGGTTGTGTCACTCCCAACTGACTCTTCTGCTTCTCTCTTCTACTTCCAAGGACCCCGTGAGTCCACTGGGCCTACCCAGACGATCAGGATAATCCCTCTACCTTACCTTAAAGTCAGCTGAGGAGCATTCTGAATTTCATTCATCTGGATGTTAATCCCTCTCTGCCATGTCACATAATATATTTTTTCCAGATTCCAGGGATTGGGAGGTGGCTATAAGGGGGCCAGGGGCATTAGCCTACCACAGACAAGGATTTTACTCCCTGTGCCCAAACTTATTCTGCACTTTCAGGCTTCGATTCATACTCAGGCTGTTCCCTATACCTGAAATTCCCCTCCTTTCCCAGGAGACACTCTATTGACTAATTCTCATCTTCTTCAGGCAGACGCTGTATCTTCAGAGGAGCATTTGCTTCCTTTCCTGCCCCTCCTCAGAGCCTTCTCTTCTTACTTGCCGGTTTGTCTCCAAGTCATTTGGCCTCTGGGAAGGCCTAGCACAGTCCTCTTCTTTGCCATGCCCTTAATACCATCGTGCCTAGCACACGTCGGGCTCATTGACTAGAAAAATTACCTGTCTTCAATCAGAAAGTCATCAACTTAAGACACAGTCCATAGTTCTGTTATCAACATGATTTTCCAGCACACTTGTAAGATGACATCTGTGCGTGAGTGTGTGTGTATGTGTGTACTGCAAATTAAATCTCAGCTTGTCTTTAGGGTTTGGATGTGTGTTATATCTATCCAGCTGTGACCCTAACAGTTCCTCCTTTAGAAATTATACTTTAAAAAGATATTCACAGAACAAAGGCACTTGGGCAAGTGAAAAAACTGTTTTCTCCAGAAGCAAGTGTCACTGTGTGGTGTAGATGCTGATTAACTCAGCTTCTTGAAATGATTTATGGTGTTTACATACTAGAGGAAGGTGTCACCCAGAGAAACATGTCCTATACACAGGGAGAGGACTGAGAGGATGCAAATAACCTATCTCCTTTTGTCTTAGGATGAGCCAACATTTCCTACAGGTCAGAGAGGTGAAGGTCAAGGACAGCAGGCCCAGCCTTGCGGGCATCCTGAGATACCAGCCTACAGCAGGCCAGGTGCCTTATTAATATTAATATTATCAACTGAGTTTTTCCTTATGTTTTTCACAGGCCAGAAAAAACCTAGAATTTTACTCCTGTACTTCCGAAGAGATTGATCATGAAGATATCACAAAAGATAAAACCAGCACAGTGAAGGCCTGTTTACCCCTGGAATTAATCACGGTATAGAAGATTTTGCTTCCAAAGCATGTAATACAATTAAGAGCTGTGCACCAATTCCCAGCTCCTAAAAATTTGCATGTCTCTGGTATTTAATTATTAAGGCACTTAAACAGGTCACATTTCAAAGTTTAGATTAAGAAAAAAAAAACCTTTTTTTACAATAATGTGACTTTACTTATTACTATTTAACTGAACACTTAGAAATACTTAAGATGGTGAATTTTATGCTATGTATTTTTTATTATGAAAAGAACTTATATTTGAAGTGAAATATCAGAAGGATTTATATTCAGAATAAATATACTTGATGTATGCTTTCTTCTGTCTCTAGAATGAGAGTTGCCTGGCTTCCAGAGAGACCTCTTTCAAAACCGTAAGTTGGAAAATTAGAGGTTTCAGCCCATATGATGAATTTGTATCATTAATGCCTGATTATTTTTCTCTCCAGAATGGGAGTTGCCTGGCCCCTGAAAAGACCTCCCATATGATGGTAAGACACCCAACTCTTTCCTCAAATACTCTGTGGGGGAAATGCTTTTGGCCTTTCTCAATGGTTCCTTCCCATTTTGTCATGTCACCCAGACCCTGTGTCTTAGTAGTATCTATGAAGACTTGAAGATGTACCAGGTGGAGTTCAAGGCCATAAATGCCCAGCTTTGGATGGATCCTGAAAGGCAGATCCTTTTAGATCAAAACATGCTGACAGCTATTGATGAGCTGATGCAGGTAAGTCCTCGTTCTGCCAACAAGACCACCTTCTTTATGCTAAGAGGGGCCAGCCAGGGTCCTGGAGGAAGAAGTATAAAGTCAGCCCCTTCTGGATTGAGAGAAGCCTGAAATTCCTCCTGGTATAGCCCTGAAGAGCTGCACTTTCAGGGAGACAGCCTTGAGGGTGCCCTTTACACAGAGGGTTGACAGGGAGGGCAAACGTGAGCAGATCACATTAAGAAAAGCAGCTTCCCATTTACTGACCACGTGGTACACACCAGGCTCTCTGCAAATAGTTTCCTATGTCACCCCCACAACAATCACATGGGATCTGCACAAAGGAGGAAACCAAAGTGTAAGAGAATTAAACCACTTGTCTGAGGTCGCCCAGCTCATCAAAGGCAGAACCAGCATTTAAAACCTCTGCAAAAGGAATCTTGCTAAGCTCACCCTCTCACACCCCACGGGTCTAGGATGTGCGTTCAAGGGACCAGCACGCTTGCCAAGGCCGCTAAAGAGAACAAGTAGGGCTGGTGCCTGGTTGTGCCCCATTTTGAACCAAAATATGAACAAAATAAATGAAGAGCCTATCAGGTGTGGGTCTCCATGATGTGTTGCTTAGAGGCAAGAACTTGCCCTGTAAGTTTCTGGATCACCAAAGCATATGATGCAAGGACAAAACATAGAAATAGTTACTTGAGAAACAGCAAGCACCTTGACAATTGGGACATGGGATAAAAATACGGTGGCAGTAATCACTGTCTGAAAGTAATTTATGTGCTTCCATTTCACTATCTTATGCTGTGTGTGTGTGTGTGTGTGTGTGTGTGTGTGTGTGTATACCTGCACGCCCACTAAATCTCTAGGTTGAAAGGCAGTGAATTTCCTCTAAGTATCAAAGAATGTTACCATCCAGAGGGTTGGAATCGGTTTTTCATTTTCAGGACCAAGAGTTGGGTCATTTGGAATCGATCCTACTACCAGCAACCGGACAACTATGCCCAAATCACTTAACCCCCTATGACTCCGTTTCCTCCTTTGGAAAATGAAATGAGTTTGCCTACCTTTATTTTAGGCTTTGAATGAGGAGCAAGTAAAAAGTATTTATCATTGTGCACCTCCAAAGCCTTGTATTATCGAGGGGCTAAAATTGGAAAATCCTTTGCTAAATGTATTTATCTAACCATAAAGGCATGTCTTCAGTGAACGGGTCTTTTCTGATAGAGACTTCTGGTCAATAGCAGTCCATCCATCACCTTTCTGTTCTAAAAAGGACTGGGCTTCTTATTGTAATGTATGTAGAAATTAGTTAGATATTGCCACAGCTATCTTAATGGAATTGTTCCTTTCTTTCTTTTTGTTTATTAAATTTTATTATTATTTTTATTTGACCAGAGAAAGCAAGATAGAGGGAATATAAGAAAGCAAGCTGCCTGGTCTAGGACTCGAAACCATAGTTGGCCATGTGAGCGTCTAGAGTCTCAACCACCATGTCACCTGCCAGCCCTGCAATTGTCCCATTCTAACATGTGACTCCTAGTGATGATTTTCTAAATAGCTTAAGGGTATTTTCAGAGTTCACTGAAGGTCCATTCCTTGGATAATCAGCATTTCTTCTCTCTGGTTCTGCCTGGCCATCTGGCTGGGAGGAGATTTGGGTTAAGTTGAGGAGAATAATGAGGGGCCGGGTTGTAGGTTCTGAGACATCTATTGACATCAACTGTTTTTACAGATGAATGTTGTAACTTTGGAATACCATGTATGTCATGCTCAATATCCATTCTCCTAGGCCCTGAATTTCAACAGTGATACCGTGCCACGAAGCTACTCCCTTGAAGAACCAGATTTTTACAAAACTAAAATCAAGCTCTGCATCCTTCTCCACGCTTTCAGAGTGCGTGCAGTGACCATTGATAGAGTGATGAGCTATCTGAATACTTCCTAAAACGCTGAGGTCCCTCCCATCCTTCAAGTCATTTTTACAAAAATTGGAACAAAAGAAATGTTAATAGAACGTGGAGTAAAAACTTAGAGTGGGGGGATAGCTTAACTCGGTCCTATTTAACCTCAGACAGGAAGCTTTATGTTTTGGTTTACTTTGGCACACCACCCACAATTTGAAGGATGGGACTGTTACATCAGCAAGATTCTTTGGATCGACTGTCTTTCATATTTACTATGGAAAAGTTGTTTTTAAGTTTTCATGAGCAAATCGCTAAGGAGGGACAATGTTTTTGTATTTACTTTTACTAAAAGAGCAAGAATTTATAAGCTATTTCTGTACTAAGGTGTTTGTAGAAACACTCAAGCATAATTTATTATGAAATATTTATTTATATAATTTTGTGTTTATATGAAAGCACACGGGCTAACTTATATTTATTTATGTTCTATTTATTAAAACATTTCTTATCACATGGATTTGAAAGATACTTTCTAAATGTTCTAAAAATAAAATAATTGAATAAAAGTAATTCTCTTATCTTTTATTTCTAATTAGAATACTTTAAACGTTGGGGCTGGCAGGTGGCATGGTGGGTAAGGCACTGAACTCCCACATGGCCAATTGCGGTTTGAACCCCAGACCCAGTGGCTTGCTTTCTCACTTTCTCTCTCACTCTGGTCAAATGAAAGAAAAATAATAAATAAAATAAATCATTCTTTAAAAAAATACTTTAATTGTTAATATATACATTGCTGCTGGACCAGCCCCATAGAGTAGCGACTGGCATAGTGTATGGGGGGCTGGATCCCACACATGGCCAACCATGGTTCAGGTCCCAGCCCCAGCAGCTTAAGGGGACATGCCAGGCATGTGTGCATGTGTGTCTGGGGTCCTGATCGAATGGAGAAGGGAGGAAGAGGAATTGCAGCATGACCACACCCTGCTAGGGGTACTTTCTCTCTCTCTCTTTTTCTCTGGCAGGCACACCCACCCTCTAGCAATTAAAGGAGGAAAAAAAAACTTGGAGCCAGCAGGTAGCATAGTGGTTAAGGTGCTGGACTCCCACATGGCCAACCCTGGCTTGAGTCTTGGACCTGGTGACTGACTTTCTCACTTTCCCTCTCTCCTAAAGCCTAAAGTGTGGATGCCTGGGTTCCTGGGAAGCTGAGGCACTCAAGATTGCAGTGTGGTGGGACTCTGTTAGAGGCTTTGTCTGTCTCTCTCTCTCTCCCTTTCTTCTGTGTGTACACATGAGCTCTCTATATAAATAGTGTGGGAGGGGGGCAATTGTCCTGAGCAGTCAACTCTCAAAGAAAGGCATACAAATGGCTAAAAAGTGCATGAAAAAATATTCAACATAAAGGAAACGCAAACTAAAACTCTAAAAGTATCACCTAATTCCAGTCAGAATGGCTATGATCAAAAAAAAAAAAAAAAAAAAAAAAAAAAAAAAAAAAAAGGAAGAAGAACAAGGCCCATCATTGGCATGGTGGTTAAGGTGGCTGGATCTTACAAGACTGACTATGCAATTTGACTCTTAAAAATCATGCTGGGCATATGTACGTGCATGCCCAAAGTCCCAGAAGGAGGGAGAAGTGGAGGAGAAAGGATGGTAGAATAACTGTGTCCCATGAGGGGTGATTTCTCACTTTCTCTCTCTCTTCCTCTCTATCTCTCTCCAGTGAGTGCATGTGCCTTGAGGCAAAATTTTTAAAAACAAAAGCAAAGAAAACCCAGTGCTGAAGAGACTACAGAAAAAAGAGATTACAGAGAAAAATCAGAACTGGAGAAATTACAGAGAAAAGGGAAACCTTGTACACTGCTAGTAAGAATGGAAAACAGTATAGCCACTGTGGAAAACAGTATTTAAGCTCCTCAAAAATCTAAAAATAGAACTACCACATGACCCAGTAATCCCAGTCTTGGATATTTTTTAGGAACAATAATTTAATTTTATTTATTATTATTATTAATTTGCTATAGGCACATGTGCTCACCAGAAAGAGAGAGAGAGAGACTGAGAGAAAGAAAGAGAAAGTGAGAAAGCAAACTTCCAGGCCCAGGACTCAAACCAGGGTTGATCATGTGAAAATCCAGCGCCTTAACTACCTTGCCACCTGCTGCCCCCTCTACCTCTTGGATATTTACCCAAAAAACAGGAAATCACCCAGGGAGACATTAGCACATCCATGCTTATTGCAACATTATTCATAATAGCTAAGATATGGGATCAACCTATGAGCCCAACAACCAATGAACAGACTAAGAAACTATAGCACATGTAAACAATGGAATACCACTCAGCCAGAAAGAACAAAATCCTGTCATTCAACACAAAGTGAACAAACCTAGACAATACACCAAGTGAAATAACCCACATTATGAAGACAAATACTGTATGTCCCCATTTAATGTATTTTAATATACAGAAACTGACATTCTTGATGACACAGAAGCAGAGAGAGCAATGGTAGACCCCAGCGGCTCCAAAGTGGAAGAAAGCAGGAGGGTTGGGAGAAAACGATCAAGAGACATAGGAATGCATGTAAACAAGTGGAATAGGTTACACAGCCAAGTGAACAATGACACTGATGATTTAACATATACTTCAAAAAAAAAGAAACTTGTCAAATATGTACAAGATTATGGAATGTTAAAGATTTAATAAAAATGAGTATCTCCTTGATTTGGTTATTACACAGTATATGCATGCTTTGAAAAACCATACTACGACCCACAAAGATATGCAATGGTAATTTGTAAACCAGGCATATAATTTAAATGTTTTTTAAAAGTGTGTGGAAAGGGGACCAGCAAATGGCGTAAGGGTTGCGTTGCTAGACTCCCATGTAGTTGACCATGGTTCGAGTCCTGGATATGGCAACTTAAAACTCATGCCAGGCATGTGTGCACATGTGCCCAAGATCCCGAGAGGAAAGTGGAGGAGAAGGAATTGTGGTGTGGCCATCCCCCTAAAGAGATGATTTCTCGGTTTCTGTCTCTCTTTCTCTCTCTGGCAAGCACTCAAAAAGCGCTCTTAAAAAAAAAAGAAAAAAAAAAGAAAAAAAAAAGTGTGTGTTGCTAAAAATGGAAAACTCTGATAAAATTAGTCCCCAGTCTCAGAAAATTATCTTGGAGAGCCTGCCAGAATACTCTTATCCATTTCCTAGTCCCCTTAATCTCTTTTTAAAGGGAGTCAGCTAAGACCACATGTGCTGGTGCTAGCAGGTGGCATGAAGAGTAAGATGCCAGATATCATGTGGCCAGCTACATGGTTCAAGTCCAGGACCTGGAAACTTCAAAATCACATTGGGCAAGTGTGCATGTGTTGCCGAAAACCCCAAAAGGAGAATGGAGGAGGGACTGTGGACATCCTCCCCGCCCCTGCCCGGAACCGAAGGAGAGATCCTTTCTCACTTTTTCTTTCTCTCTGGAGAGTGGGTGTGCCCTACAGCATGCATGAATAAGACTATGTATGTTTTAACACTGAGGCAACTAAGTGAGTTACGGTTCTCAAGAGTTCATTATTTTAATTTAGCATCTGAGCTTAAAGATAAACTGTGCATTAGACAAATGCACTGTAATATTCTCCAACCAGGAAAATGATCACTGAGGCCCCTAGTTAAAGTAATTCTAACCTTGTGAGCTTTTGGGTTCTGAGGGAGAAGTTGTTTCTAAGTTACAGCTAAGAAAGCTCTCCATGACTTCTTCATGTGCCAAATTCCATAGATCTTTTGCCTGAACTACATGGATAGCTGCTTCACTTTGGCTTAAATGTCTACCTTAATGAGCTAAATGTTAAATTCCATCTTTTCATTCTTAAACTTAAACATTCTTAAACATTCTTAAACATTCTTGAACTTTAAAAGATTCTTATCTTAGCCCAGAATTCCTGACAGTGAGAAATTCGTAAAGGACAAAGATTTATTTCCGACAGCTCTGGAGGCTGGGAAGTCTGAAACTGGAGACTGCATCTGGCCAAGGCCTTCACACTGTGTCACTCCATGGCAGAAGGTCCAGGGCAGGAGAGAGAGCAGGAGGGGCCCAAATGCCTCCTTACGAGGAGCCCACTCCCCAGATAACAGCCTTGGTCATTGCCAAGGGCAGACCTCATGGCTTAATCATCTCTTACAGGTTTCACTTTTTTTTTTTTTAAGGTTT